GGTGGAGGGTCAGAGAAAAAGAGGAAGACCCCCAACGAGATGGATTGGCCAAGTGGCAGCATCGATGGACTCAAGCGTGGCAACAGTAGTGAGGATGGCCCAGGATCAGGCAGTGTTTCGTTCTGCTGTGCAAAAGGTCGCTATGGGTCGGTACCAACTTGATGGCACCTAACAATAAAAACAATGGTGAGAAAATAAATTTCTGTTCATAAAAGCCATCACTGGTAATACTTCTGGTATAGCAGCACCAATGACAGCTGCCACACAAAAGTTTTCAGGATGTGTGCTATCTACGAGATGGATAAAGAGCCTCAAGGATTTTCTCACTCGATTTTAGACGAACAGTATATGTCTTTGCTAATGCTGGAAGTGATTACGAGTCAACTCTTTTGTAGATAAAGGCTGTACCTTACTAAGGGGACACATTAAAAAAAAAAATCAAGACTTAATAATGGTTCATAGATATGTACCTTGGAATCTACCACTCACAACACAATGAAAACAAGTAGCTAGTAAGTAAGCACTTGGAAAAGACCCTGAGAAACAAACATCAAGAATACAAAAATAGGGACCCTATCCAGAGAAGCAGCGACACCAGAGATGGAGGCAGAGGTGGTGGCATGGAGAGATAGAGCAACTGAGGACTCTAGATTCATTGAAAGAGAAAGGCTGTGTGCTGGCGGCCAGGAAGCTTGTTCATAGAATGTGCCCTTTGCTTGTTTAAACGATTATACATTCCTGCATGTTTTTATGTATATCAAAACCAAAAACACAAAACTGAATAAAAGCAAATATTGTTAACCAATGGTGCATGGAGGGGATTGTAATCATTGCAATGAATCAAAATATGATAGGTTAAGTGCAAAACTGATGTTCTCCCATGTAAACTATCATTCAATTCACAATAAAAACTTTTTTTTTTTTTATAATAAATAAGAGGGAAACAAAAGGGTACAAAAATATTGCCAACTAGGGCACATACACACAATGGAATAAAACACAATGCTGAAAAATAACTATGTAAGGCACTTCGTAACATGGAGCTCATTATACTGAGTGAAATGAGTTATTCACAAAATGACAAATATTGTATGAGACCACCATCATAAAAAGTCAAGGAAACATACGATCCAAGAGTAAATAGATAAAGGTTTACAAAACAGACTAAATGCTTTAGAGAAAGGAAGATCGCTTAAGGGAACTAAGACCCAATATATCCAGCCTACACTCCCAGCTAAGGTTACTCATGGTATAAGTAGATTTGTGTTATCTTTCAGTAATCTAGAACTTGATTGGAACTTAATCCAATAGCATTTTAGGAGGTTGTGGAACAATATACACTTGTCTGTGGATATTCATCAGCTACATGCTCAAATTT